ATTAATATTAATTTTAAAATTTATGACATTTAATTTTTATTAAACATTAATTCATTTTTATAATTGGTATCAAAATACGCATAAATTATTAAACTTTAAAATTTATTTGAGGAGAGAGAGAGAGAGATTTATGATAAACTTGTAAAATTAGTTTTGCAATTGAATTAATTTTATAAATTAAAAACTAAAAAATTATAAAATTAATATAAATCTTATTTGTTAGCGTACAAATAATCCCAAAAATATTACTGTTTTACATTAATTTAAGCCCAAAAACAACTTTTCAGATATAATGTTACAGTTTGTAAAACCTTTGCCAATTGTCACTACATATTAATATTTACATTTGCACACACTTTAATTCTTCTAAAATAACAATTGTGATATTTTAATGACAAAATGTATTACATTTTAAAAATTTTATGTACATTTATTTTATCAAATTCAATTTACAATTGGATTATAAATAACTACTATAATTAACAGTCAACAAAATTGCGTGAATCATTTAATAGCCAACCATTAGTACATAGAGTGCCCTTCAATTGTTTTTCAAACACCGACTCCCGGAGCCACTTATTACGACACTCCTGACAGTCCACTCGTGTTATCAACAAATTATATGAACTTTCACGAAAAAATACAGAAAAAACACTCTCGCTCAAATACTTTAAGCCATCATTATCATTAAACGTTAGTCTGATAGGTCGCTTACAGCCCATAAAAGCATCGGGACTAAAACTGTTCTCGGTAAAATTATTTCTATTAAAATACACATAAACTTGAGCGCCTGGAAACGGGGGTGGAGTGGGTGTGGGGTCAAATGCAAAGGCCCCTGCTGCAACCGCCCCTATGTTATTGCCCACAATATTTAACGTAAACAAACTGTAGAGTTTACTGAACGCTCCGCTGGGAATTACCCCGATGTCTGTCTCGACTATGTCAACGCTGGTCAAGTGTGACATCTTGTTGATAACTTTTATCGGATCACCATGGTGATAACCCACGCGATCAATAACAATCTCCTGGATTGTATCGCTGGTGCCGTTGAAAGCATCTGGGTCCATTGTGGCTAGTTTGGGGCATGATACAAAACGTACACGCTCAAATTTAAGTTCTTCAAATAGGTATGCGGGTAGCTGGGTAATTTTCTTGTTGCTCAGAGCAAATAATCCAAATTGGCGATCACTCGGCGTGGTCAATTCCTGACCAATTACCCTAAACATGCTTTTTAATTGTTTGCCAGTAATGTCCGTGGTGCATATTATACTCTCGCCCACAAAGGTTTGATTATAGCATGAGCAACCAGGTGCTAGGATGTTTGCGCTGGGGCATTTAGCCAGCACTAACAAAGTGACCATGTGCATGCCATAAATAATTGCAATTACCGCTGTGTAATTAAAATTAATATTTTTAATTTTTATTTTAATTTAATAAATTAAAATTAATACTTACAATTAAGATTCATGGTTAATTTTACTATGACTATAAATATTATTTCTTCATTGCTATCAAACTGTAAATATATTATTATTTAATGTTTAAGTATATGAAACCAATTTTCAATAGTAATTATTTGGTGTTATAAGATGTTTAATTATCTTTTCTAACAATTGTTTTAATATCATTCTCTAACCAAGGTTAAAATATGATTGATTAACATGTAATTTTATAATAATTTTGATATAATCATTTAATGTAACTTGTATCATTTAATTTACAAATGTAATTATCTCACTGGTTAATGTTCAAGAGGGTTTCACAGTAATTGATAAAGATAAACATTTATATTATTTCGTCTAATTAATACTAAAAAATATTTGTAACATTACGTATGCTTTAGATTATATTTCCAAAATAATTTATTTAAATTAAAAATTAAATTCAAATTTCAGTCAATTTATTATTATCATTTATTTATATTTTAGAAAATTAATTAAAATACTAATTAAATTTAATATAAATAACAGTTAATTGTAATTAATATAAAGTTTTGTATTTAATAAATGCTTAGAAACTCATGTTTTGAGTGTTTATTGCATAAAGCAATCAATTGATTGACAGCATTGTCCGCATCACTCATCTTTCCCAGCGATTGACAAATGTTCACAAATATAAACAGTTTGTTTGATGCATACAAATGCTATTAGATTTAAAAATAAGTATATAATTGCATTCAAATTTTAAATAAATTATATGAATACACAATAAATTAATACCTGATTTATATTAAAACACTTATCATTAAAAGTGTCGACAAATTTTTGATAACACTCTCTATTACTAAGCTCTCGATGTTTGGCGTTTAGCACAGAATTCACGTCAGTTTTTATCAAATGTTTAATACTTTCCACGAATTCACGTAAAACATTGTCAACATATTGTCTGCCTCTCAACACAGCATTTAATTCAGACAAATATCTAAACAATAATAAAATACATAATAATTTAAAGATAAAAAGGTTTGCACAAAAGTGGGAATAATGATCTTTTTCTGGATCAATTTTTATCCGGAATTATGTTTAAAAATACAATGTTTAGCCAAAAATACCTATATTTCTCGTGGATATCCTTTGCGTACAAAATCTGTTTCTGTTTTCTATTCACGTAAGCACTTGTATAGGGAATAGAATCGCAATTGTCTTTAGGCACGGGATCTATACCAAGAGGTTTGTGAGACTTTTGATCACCCAAAAAGTGAGACACAGGGAGTTTGGCAATGGATAGGTCTCCGTACTGTTGGCTGTGTTGGTGTTCGCGAACCAGCGATTTGTTGATTACACTCTCGATATACCGGTACTGCTCTTGAAGGGACTCAACCGTCGGGTCCTTGTTTTCGTAGTCGTAAAGCCAGGCGGCGCTATACATGTCCGCTGTTTAAGTGTGTTAGGAATGGGCAAGATTATTTATTTAATTTTAATATGATGAATTTAGTATAATTATACTTACATAGATAGGTGTCCATCTCTTTGTTATACCAACACAGACTACTTTCCTCCGATGGTAATGAGGCGGTCGTTACGTAAACATTAATATTGTTTGGAAGTAATTTGTCAAACATAGACCCTGGTCACATAAAGAATGTTTGATTTATTATAATGTGTATCGTGATTTATTAATATTAACCAGAATAACACGCTTCCATATAAAACACTAATTTAGCAAATCTATTGTTTTTATGCATTGAAATCAATTCATTGACCAATTCCTCGGCGTAAAGGTATGTATCGGGAAAGTCAACCAAATCTGTTTATAAATGTATTATTTGATATTTTACTACTAAAACACACATAGTAGAAGTATTTTTAAACACTTACTTACAAAACCATGGCTAACAAAATAAACAAATATATGATCGTTGGGTCCGCTATTAACAACTTTTTTACCACAACCAGCTAATTCTGTATCACCTCTAAGCACAGCCAAAAAATTCTATAAATACAATATTGGTACAAGTTAGTAAACTAATATAAAATATGTTTTTAAGTATAAAATTAATTTTTGTAACGTGTTAACTTACTAACCGAAGGGTTATGCTCTTTACCAACATAATCCTTGGGCACTCCCTTATAGACGTCCGGACCGTTGGGCCGATTGATTACAATCCCGGGGCTCCTGTTCTCACTGGCGTAGGCTATATCGTCGTAATGCATGACAATTATGTTTGAATCGGGAATACCTCGAGATTTTACCACATGATAGGCGTGGTATACGTCTGCCTAAGAGAATAATTATTTTTAAAATAACATTGTATAAATTATCAATTAATACTAATAATAAACCTGATGCCTGTAGTTATCCCATGTCCGACTGCCCGCGCACAACACAACCCAATTGGTGCCATTAAATGCTGGATTCAATTGTTTATTAATTACCAGTAGATTAACCGATAAATACAACATATGTATAATTGTCAATATTTTCAGCATGGTTGATATTATTATATTGTATAGTAATAATTTTTTACAACTAATTATAAATAATTTGATTTTTAAATAATACAATTGATTAAAGTCCTGATGATTATTAAAGTGCTGATGTATTAATAAATGCTACGATTATACTGTACTTATAAAGAGAAATAGAGCTATACTTTATTTTTAAAAATAATGAATGTAATGATTGAGATTAATTTTATCTATAAATTTTTTATATTATAGCTATTAGTTACTTTCGCAGTTAATAATATACTGTAACCATTACAATAAACCTTGATTAGAGAGAGAGAGAGAGAGAGAGAGAGAGAGAGAGA